ATCTAGATGTACAAATAAGTAATACAGATATTATTTAATAGCGTTGAAATTTAGAACTGTTAAAAGTTAATTTTAGAATCAATATAGTCAACATATATACTGATATTTACCAAGTAAAACAATATTTCTCGGCGGTTATTATCGCAACTTTAACTAAGAAAGCCGAAAGTCGATATTGGATGTAACATTTTTCGAGTTTCGCCCCGAGCGTTGGCAAAATTATTAAGCTTGTCTTGGCTATTCCGAGATAGTTTCGCAATAATAAAACTTGTTTCAATGTGGGCAGTCAATATCAATCTTGCGGCTTAACCCATAAGGATCCGAATCCGCCTAATCCGCATAATGGGTATAATCGGTCGCTTAAATCGGCTTACGTCCATGCTCATGGCAATGAGAGCTTTAGCGGTTTTCGAAACGATTTTTAAGGCATCAATCAAGTAATGTGCTACTTATTTTGTTTGCTGGCGGATAATTAAGGCGGATCAATAAAAAACTTCAAAATGGAAAGCTACAATATACTAACAATTTTGTACTATACATACTCAAAGTTTGTAAATCAAATAAGTTTGATTCCGGTAATGTCTAGCAATAATCTGGCAAGTAAATGCCTTATAACTTAAATACCCAAAGCTGTCTTATGTTCATTTCTATCAATGTAGATTAACTTTAATCTCGGTTTAGTTGATTTTTTATCTTTTTCTAGTTTTAAGAATTAAAAAAATAAGTAAGTTGAACAGAGATTGAAGTTCTACATTGGTAGAAATGAACATTATTATAGCCATTATTTCTATTAATTTTAATAATATAAATTTCAATTAACTTAAAAATATCTTTAAATTCCTTTTTTAGAGGATATAAAAAAATATCTTTCTTAAAGTATAAAAAGATTTATTAAAATTATTTTTAAAAAGCTTTCACTAATATAACATGGATCTTTTATGTGTTATTTTAGACCCGACATAAACGCGATAAGAGCGTTAACTTCGGCTCAACCAGGAGCGAAAGGTGCCCCTGCGGTAGCTGTTAGCAGGGTTGCAGCTGAAGAACGTGAATTGCCTAGGCAGGGAAGTCTGGTCGACGGGGAAGGCATCAAAATCGTTATTCATGATGTCGACAGTGATCTTGGTAAGCCTTATTATGAATTAAGATATTTCCGAATAATACATGTGTTAATTTTTATCTCTGGTATTACTATCTTTTTTTCATTGATTATCTATTGTCTCCTAATATTTTTCTACATCCTTCGCTCGGAAAATGTATAAATTATTGCTATTTAAATCCGTAATACTGTCAAAATGACATTTTTACATGTTTGTATACAGTGATTATCTGTCCTTCGCGTTCCACGTAGAAATAGTTTTCTCTTTTTATTACTCTTAGATTATGCAATAATTAAAGATACGTAAGATACTTAACGTTTGTGTAATTACTATCGAGTGATTTTATGTCTTTGAGGAAACCGGGTATCCGTAAACCGCAGGAATTCTGCTACGAATGCGTTAGTATTATGCGAAAAAAGAAATACAAGACAGAAAAGTGCGTTTGATCGATCGAGCTGTGGGCTTGCTCCGGGCGGTGATTCAATTCCGCGGATAACATCGGTTTCAGTCCAGAGAAGTTTTTGTCGTGCCATCCAGTGATGAAATCCTGTTAATTAGGAATCGGGAATTTAATTTCGTAGGTCGCCGCGGATCCACACTCTCTCATTCAAAGCCCAAAGTTCAAATAGCGATTAATTTGCTACGGGGAAATAATGAAACGGTCCGCGTCTTTGTATAGAGTAACGCGACATTCGTGTTAATTATTGCGCGATATCCATTTTCAGCATCACGATCGGAAATCGGCACAATTCGCGCGCGACTTGCTCTTAACAGAATCATTCTTCCGCACAGAAATGGCATTACAATACGTAACTAAGATCGATGATATGCGCGCGTCGATATGGGAGAATCTCCTTCGCCACTTTATACATATATAGATAAACACAGAGATCATTTTCACAAAAGTAATATATTCCCACAACGAGATAAAATATACCAAATTTCTCGTATTAATAATTAATATTTTTTATGTATTTAATAAATCTTCGGCGGAATTTTAAATCTGCCATGAAAAAATGTTTTTTTTTTTGCAATGTACAACTGGCGATAAAATCCTTTGTTGTTCATTATGCAGTTGTTTAAAAATTTGTAAGGACAAACGAACGGGTTGTATAATGTAGCATTAAAATTTAAAATGCATGCATATGGCAAAGGACTCTTATTTGAAAAAGTTCGCGACCTACAAATCATTTGAGTTTGAGAGACAAACATTTCCTCCTTTTCTTTTTAAATATGTATAATCGAGTGCACGCGAAGCGAGAACGTGAGACTACAATTTAGTCTGGTTCTATTGTGAATTTGATGTTTCTTTTTTTATTTAAGAAAGCCACTGCCGTAGTTCTGTTTCGAGATAGCATTTTCCTTATGTGAATTACCGAGCTAGAAACATTTCAATTAAAGCGCGCGTTATATTCTTATTTTATGTTCGTTCCGAGCTTATATTACTGCAGAAAAGAAGCGTATTTTCAAACGCGTTCTTTTAATCGAACATCTTCTCTGCTACAGTTCTTGGACATAATTATTAAACATAATTATAACAGAAAAATAAGTTTAATTATCTAATCTTTCAAACACAAATATGTTATTCAATGAAGTATTATGAAATATTATTTAGAACTCTTTTGATTTAAATTTATAATATTAAATAAACGTTTGACGAAAGTAAGTTAAATAATAATTGTGATTCTTATGTTTAAATACTTGATAATGACGAACGTGCAGCATAATTTTTAAATGTTTATGCAACGAGATCTGCATAGATAATTTTTGCGACAGCTGAATGATTTTATCATCATTAGACAAGAGGATAGCTTAATTCGGTCACCGCGATGCACTATCTTTTTATTATAGCTGACCTAATTTTTTAAATCTTTCTATAAAAGCACTCATTTTTCCATCATATTTAATTAAAATCATCTTTTGAAGTAGATTCAAATATTGATTCAATAAACTGGTTAAGTCCTTGGTACATTAATTTTATGAAATATACATACCTTCTGAGAAAATCGTTCAAAATTTGTTCAATTAATAACTTCATATGTATCTTGTGTATAATATGTATAATAATTTTCAAATGTGTGTATATATGTGTTCCCTTCTCACTCATATATATACATATATATATATACCTACATATAATAAATCCTCAAGAAATATTAGAAATGTAATGACTTATCTAACACTCAAATATTATTTAACATCTGCAAAAGTTTTGAGGCCATTTTACAATTATTATTTGATGACACTAAATAACACGGGAAATAAAAGGAATTATATTTCATACCGCGATACCATCATTTCTTATCACGATTATAAGAAATTGACGGCCGACAACGAACGCCTTAAAAGGGCGCAAGAAGCACTTGGATCGTTTCCAACGCTTACGGTTTGCCGAAGATATTATCGCAAGACCACTCGACGCGTATTTTCCTCTTCACCGTGCGGGTCACCGAGTTACGGCTGCAAAAACGGACCGTTTCATTTTTCTCGCTCGGCAGGCAACTCGCCCGCGTTAGGTCCGCGCGCAATATCGATTGCAGTCGCGGCAGTTATCGCGATCTGACACGCCATGCAAGAGCTACGTGGGAATCGCGATCTGTCCACGTGTTCATTAACGGCTTGTCGATCGGAAGGCAGATTACGCCATCGTCTATCCCGCCGATAAACTGCGATGCAACAAACTGCGCATGGAGCGAGATGAAGCGAGAAACGCGAGAGGGTAGAAAGAGAGAGAGGGAGAGGGAAAGGGAGGGAGAGGGAGGAAGGGAAGAAGAGAGAGAGAGAGAGAGAGAGAGAGAAAGAGGAAAAGAGCAGAGAGCGAAGCAGAGGTGCGAAGATAACATGTACCTTTCATGCTAAAGTGATTGTATGTAATTTTACTATGTACAAGCTCGCCGCTGCAATGGCGGATAACGCAGTTTGCACGTAGAGTCGTTTGTTGAAATCGTTAGTGGGTCACGTAATTGATTTATGTCTCGTGAGGAGAAACAGGGTCTTTTATGCGATATCTTGTGAATTAAAGGAAATTCACAAGGACACGTGATAAAAGTATGTAAATGTGAATACGCACGGACTAAAGAATTCGAATTGCTGATTATTTAGTATTTTTAGTTAGTATTTTTTAACATAGAATAAAAACATTTCATAATTTAATTGGAAAATTTGCTTTCCGAAACGGTTTAAAATTTAGATTGCATTGTGGTCGAGTTTATTGTATGTTTTCACCACGTTTCGGATCGTTGTGAGATTGATATATTAATCACATATATAAAAATGCTGGCTAAATAGAGAAACAAACTGCTAAATATCATATTAATTAAGCAACGAATTCTTGCTTCTTGCCCTAGCAAAACTTCGCTGTGAGATTTTCTAAGCGTAAAAAATTATATAGTCTCGCATTCAACTTATTTAAAATTTATGTCAGATTAATTTATTCACTAACAACAAATATACCGTGATAATCCAGCGCGCGAAAAAGTGAAAAGCGCAACGGAAAGATAATTGAACATTTTCCATGCTAAATAATCACATGACATTCAAGCTCGTTGCAACCAAGCTACTAATGAAATTCGCGTAGAATTGTGTTGTACGACGTTTTTCATTTAAAGTTGAACCGACTTGGAAAGTGCATGCAATTAAACAATCTGTTTACGCGTATTGCAATTACGTTAGAAAATTCCTTATTCGTCGTTTTCGTGTGTATAAATATAAAGAATAATAATTAAAACTTACGGACATTTAAGGAAAATTTAATTGTAACACGCGCAAAAAGATTGTTTAATTATCTACACATTTTAGAAAGAACAATAAAATATAATCTAGTACATCATTACTACAACAACTGTTATTTATTATTATCACAACTACTGCAGTCTATTTTTCTTAACTGCAGTCTTCGTACTGATGTCTCCTTTAAAGTTAGATGTTAGGCAACAAAATCTCGGTAGCGAGAGATTCTCGCACAAAAATGTTTGTCGATGTACCTGCTGGAATCAAATATTTCAAGATAGTTATCTCGTTGTCGCTTAGAATACAATAAAATATTAATTATAAAGCCCTTTATTTAAGTGTCGTAAAAGCTATTTGATATCGCGCAAGCTGCGAGCGTTTGTCTTATCCTTCACGTTAAATAATTTGTTATCACGCTTTATGCATACAGTTCAAAATACGATGTCGTAACTATCTTTTAGTTACGTTTTTGTTAAAACGTAAAATTATTATAAATTATGTTATTAACACATTTTAAAGAATACCTGTAGCCAATTTCTTCTTTTGACGTTTGCGATACATGAAATATCCTGCCACTATCAGACCTATAACTAATAATATAGCGAGAATCACGAAAGGCCAAACTATTATGGTAACATTACTCAAGGTGTTTGAACGAGACATCGCGTAACAAGGCAAATCTGCAAAATAAAAAGCAATAGAGATAAAACTAACAAATTCAAATGTCTGGTATGATAGATATAATTATTTAAAAAATTACATTTCTCCTTAACAGTAGTTTCGCATTATTTTTATCAGTGTGTAGTTTTCTTTACAAGCACACTTTTTGAAGCTAGTTTCTAAATTTATGTTTCTAGACGTTTGTTTTTATAAAATAAATTAGAAGTATTTTTAATCAATTTATGGAAACAGACTCTGATGTTTTGCAAGTAATATTTAGTATAATTTCTGACAATTATATTTAGAAAAGTTTATGTAACACACTCCATGTGTCCAACCCCTTTTATCGATATATTGTCATTGATATTATAAACAATCTATATAACTAACAATAAACACAATTCTAAAAAAAATTGAAAATAGTTCTTTCCTAAACTGTTAAAATTCTTTGACAATTTGAAAGCGATTACGCAATAATCGAAAAGAGTTTAAAAGAACATTAATTATAAACTTTTATACATAATTACAAAAACTTATGTCGTTACTGAAAAAAGATCTAATTTATTTCTAAGTTGCAAATACCTGTATTAAGAAAACAGCTGACAGTCAAATTGCGTTCATAATTTTGCATCACATAGCACACTGTATTGTTGTCCAAAAAATTGTCGCATTGATAACAATACGGTGCACCTTCGTAAGCTCGCCTGATTTCGCTATTTGCAAAATGAAGCAAGACTCTGCAATCATATTTACGAATTATAAGATTCGTCTAGTCAGTTATTGAATGGCGGGCGCTCTTTGCGAGGCCACGAACGGGAAATCGGCGGGTCAGTATAGTATTCACCTCTTCTTAGCTTCATTATAAGCCATCGTTATGACGCACTTGGTCGGTTGATCGCAATCCTCTCCCGTCCATCCGGAGTGACAACTGCATCTGGACTCGTGGCGCGATCGTGGCTCTTGGTCGCGATCGTCCAGATCGATCCAAATGATACTAGTACAGTGTACAGTCGCCGTGTCCGCTGCAGTTGCGAGCACACCTAGGGATGCACTCCGGTCTCGAGTGATGATCGTTGTTCGATATGAAACCATAGTCACAAATGCACTCATTCGGGCCGACGCAACGCCATTCTGGCAGCCCCTTTCGCAAATCGGCTTGCAGACGCTTGGTTCATTGTTCAGACGATCTCGATTGCTATGCAGCGCGTAGCCGTCGCGACACACGCAGCGATTCGGCGCCGTGCACATACCGTCGGCGTCTAAGCACCCTCGATCGCAGATGGGTATGCAATCACCGGCCGTGTCCCTCCTGGTAACGCAAATGCCGGACTCGTCACACGTCCCGTTATCTCCGCACGAGAGAGCGTTGCAAGGACGCCACGAGGGGTCTTGGAAGAGCGTCAAAAAGAGTTTCATTCGACAATACCGAAAGCGGTGCCTCATGATCTTGTTTAGAGGTTTATCATCTTCCAGCCACTCCGGATAGTGATCCGGATCGCAGGTGCATACGTTTGGCGCGGTGCACTTACCATTCCAGCAGATGAAATCGCAAACCGGTTGGCAGATATGTTCCTCAGACTAGTTGTTTGACAGTTGATATCCAAATAAGTTAAAATAAAAAAATTTAATTAGTTGTAATTTAAAAAATCATTTAAAAATAACACACTCCTCCAAATCAAACGACTACTTCGAATCGATAAAATACGATATAATTTGATTGTGCAATCTTTCCGTCATGTATTACTTGGATATTAGGTACTGATACCGATAGGTTTATTCTCAACGATGAAAAAAGTTTGAATATGTATTGGCCATTTCAAATACGCGATAATTCGGCCACGATAACTCGGCAACGGAAACACAAGCTCAATTTTTAAAAGGAATTTTCAGGCTTTCGGAAGGTCTCAAGTAAAGTTAATAAAATTTTTTTTTAACTTTGTGCGTGATTTAAAAGTTAAAGTTTAAAGACACAATCCTGTCGAGCAATTCTTTTTAAGGATTATTTAGGCAATAATCATGAATTGTTAAATGTATATGTTTGTCATAACTTATAATTAAAACATCTTTTTACTAATAATAATAAAAAAATGTTTATAAAAAATTACAATATGATTTTGTTATGATTAACCCTCGGTTGTCATCCGGAGTCAAAGTGACTCCAAATTATTATTTTTATTAAAGAAACATCTTAAGAGTAAAAGATCTATGCAAAAAACATTAAAAAATAAAAGTTATGATTTTTTTCAAAATTTACGTTTTTAAGAATTTTTTTGAACACGATGCCATTTAAAAAGTTAATTTTTTATAATGAGAATACATTCTACAATGTTTAAACTTTATTCTAGAATGTTTTGCGATCCATTTGAACTGTTAGTTTTTGATGAACAGCAGCTGCTTGAAAATTGATTGGGTCAAATTGACCCTGTGCCGTGTGACAAACGTGTTTGAAAAAAAAGAGGCGTGACTACAGAAAATTAAGAAAAAAATCACTTTTTAGAAGATTAAAACCTTCCTTTCGTGCGGTGAGTGGTTCTTAGATATTTTGTCGAAAGTTCTGGCGATAATGAATATTAATAATAACATTTATATCTTATTGTACAGATATATACTTGCCAATTCGGGAAACAGTGTTTTCGAAAATTTTTCATACAGCTCTGTTATAATTGACTGTGCGTGTGAGCAATACCCTTCGAAGCAAGTGCATTCATTGGGCGATGTGCATTCTCCGTTAGGTCCGCAAGGACCGCAAGGTATCGTGCAGATCGGTTTGCTTTGAGTCGAGTTAGATAAAACGTCAGATGTATTGGACACTGTTTGATTTTCATGTAAGCATGTTGCGGGCGCGACGCATATGCCGCTACCGCACATATCATTTTCGCAGATCGGCTCACATATATGTTTGGAGTTGTTACTTTGTCTGTAACCTTCATTGCAGTTGCATGTTTGCGGCGCCACGCACGTGCCCATTTTGCAGGGCTCGCTGCAGTCCGGTTCGCAGACGGTTGCGTTCGCGTGTTTGTAACCGGGTTTGCATAGGCACCAGTTTATTTCCGGCACTATGCACTTCCCAAAAACGCACGGCTCGTCGCAAATGGCGTTGCAGATAAACGAATCGTCCTCGTCCTTTTCGTAGCCGTCCGCGCACATGCAGACGTTAGGAGCGATACAAAGACCGTTCTTGCACTCAGGATCGCAAATGGGCTCGCAGATGAACTTAAAGACGTGGCCGAATCTCTTGTGTTTCCTGTAATTGGGACGACACGTGCACACGTTCGGCTCAGTGCAGTATCCGTGATTCTCCTCGCATTGCGCGGGGCAAACGGGTCGGCAGGTGAATCCGTCCGAGTCCAACCAATATAGCCCTCGTTGCAAATGCAAACCCCAGGATCGACACAGGTACCGTTGACGCAATCGTTTGTGCACGCCGACACGCACAAGTCGTTGCTCGACATGCGGTATCCTGTGTTGCAGATGCACACGTCCGGCTCCTTGCAAGTACCATTTTGGCACGATTGCGGGCAACGCGGTACGCACATTGCACCGGATTGCACGTAGCCTTCGCAACATGTCAACTCCGTGTGAAACTGTAATACTCGTAATTGGCAAATTAGCCGATTATAGTTGTAGCATAAGCAAACAAGAGATTGATAATTCGTTTGCAAAATAAAAATGAAACGAAAAGATTGCTAATTTATACGAAAATTGTTCTCTCTCTTATTTCTTCTTTATTTCTTTGTCGAATATCATCGCGTTACTTATCAGCTTGATTACCTTTTTCTTAAAATTCACTCGAGTCTTAAGTTGATAGGGTGCCTCAGGCATAGCATGTTCTGGTTTATATCTATATGTTTCCGTATAATTGTGAACTAATCGTGATACCTTTCGACTGTAATAAAATTAGCAAAATTAATATACGTATTAATATATAATATATAAACGCCTAATTTGCAAGGTATTTCGAAGAAATTACCTTAGAAATTGATACGTGATATGTAAATAGAGTATAATAACAAATATAAACCACCTGACCTTTCATTGCACCTTATTGAATTATTGAATGTCTCTACAGCGTCGTCTTTCTTCAGTTCCAACTGGAACGACGAAGGGTCGTCAACAAGTGGAATTGCGTTTACTTTTAAAAATAGTATCTTGATATCCAAAACAGCGATCAGTCTATTAAGCAACCCCATGATTTGTCGCCTCTATTATGAAGTCGTGTTCACTCCTTGATGTTTATAAACCGACTGTGAAAGTGCTTCCTTCCCATATATCATCGCTCGATTATCTCTTGCTTTGCGTGTGTATAACACACCAATACATACTATGTTATTCTTTTGAAGCAGGATATGCTATATTATAAGCTGGGACCGGGGTCCCACGACGCGTAGAGGCTTGGCCTTGGCAAATTACACCAAATCATCCCGAGCCACGCGTCGTCCAGGACTAGGATAGGTTGCTAATGCTCGCGACTCGCGGTTCACGGCACGCCGTTCCGTTTGAGAGTCGATAAATAGAGAAATCTTCTTTAGGATATGAAATTTTTATTTCCTTTTATTGTAATTTAAACTTCGTTAAATGATCTGCTTCGTGGACTACTTCTATCGTTCTCATAATTGTGAAATCTCTATTGCTCTCTGACATTTTGGGTTAAATATTATCGGAGTCAAAACTTATTGAGCCATTGACCACACCAATAGCGTGTCGTTGATCCGCTCGATTCGTCGACTTGCGTAGGCTTGTCGAAACATATATGTTATACACGTCTAGGCAAACGTGATTCAAATTGTTATGGCAGAATAAGAATAGGACTCTCGATAATTAAAGTGGGGTAAAAATGAGCAATGAGAGAATAACGCGATTGTTGATGTGTAAGTAGTCACAATATTTAGTTACGATTATAACTATATATATTAAAACGTAAAACGGAGGTCCGGGAAATGGCTTTGAGCCATTCTCAGCGGTGTCAAATGATAAATAAAAGTTAAGTTTTAACGTTTGTTAAGTCAGCATTTTATAGCGTGGTCAAAAAGCCATGTGGATAAAAAAGTTGACATTGAAATTCATTACTTGATGATCTGTAATCAGGATAAACCTGACACATGAAAATTAAAAATTGAAAATAAAAAACAATTAAAAAAAGAAAAAACTCACCAAGTAGTCTCGAGAACGTAAGATTAAAAATGAAGCTGTGGAGATGAAATCCATAAAAACCAAAAACGTGATTCAATTGTTAACTCGTATGTTAACTCATGGAGAGTGGTCGAATGAGAAAACCTTAAATTTTTAGAAGCACACGAGAAAGAAGAATTATTGTGGAACTTGAAGCATTCTTTCTCATAAAGACATAAGAACGCTATAAGCGATTCTTGGAAAAGAATGGAAACAATATTAAATGTTTTAATTAAATAATTAAAAAAGAAAAGAGATGTATTATTGCTGCACAGACCACGATCTTTTCTCGTTGGCTATCCATTTCAAACTGATGAGCTGAAGACTACAAGCCTATATGAGTCTAAACTAAACGAGCTAAACGCGCCATGGGACCTTTGCGGCTTGTTATAGTTCGTTGCTTGCTAATTCGTGAGCCGATTTGTTGACAGGCATAAGTAAGCCACGTGTCGTGACGGACCACATGCCGTATGGGACCCCAGTTTAAAAGTTACTTAAAGCCTGCATATTCGTAGTGTAAATTTTATTTTAAAGTCGATCACTCGTGTTGCGACAAGTTCACCCGAAGCATTAACAGAAACATTTATTTTAGAAATTACTATTTATTCAAAAATAGGTGCAATTATGCGAAATAATTTAATGTCCGTTTGCTATATTAAACAATAGCTTTTGGATGACGATAATGATAATATTTAACCCAAAATATAAAAAAACAATAGAAGTTTTATAATCATGAGAACGATAAGTAGTCCACGAAGCAGATTATTTGACGAAG